GCTTTATTGTACATATTGTAATAATTTCGTTAATTCAGTACCGTAGAACATTGCGGATCAATTGTGTTTTTACTTCGGGATTCGTATCGGTTCGGCTACGCGTCACTCGAGTGCGAATTGGTTGACGTACACCCAGTTTATATCCTGCGCCGCTCTGACCAGTTCTTCCTGCTTGAGTTTTCCATACCACTCCTCTAGTTTTGCCGCTGGTTTGGCCTGTCTGTTTTCTAGCGTTAGTCGCAGGACTACATGATCACTTTTCCCTAGGGACTCCTCCTGGGTTATTACCCTTATGTCCATAGAGGTTCTCGTGATCACTAGATCCAGTTTGGACGGCCTGTCATTTGCTCTAATCCGGGTGACTTGACACGTGTTGTGATGATGCGTGCTGATGTAGCCACTCTAGAAGCAGTCCACCTCCGCCACCTACCAGTGCCCTGTCTCTACTCCAGTTGATTTCTGGCATGTCCCCTACTAACAACACCCTTCTGGACGAGGCAAGGAATCATTGCAGCTGGGCAATCAAGTCCTGATCTTCTGTTGCATTTGCATGTGGATCCCAGTTGAGGCATATGACGGCTAATGCGATTCAGTCTATTTTAACTGCAAAACTGATAGCTCGTATATTGTGAGTCGCTAGGGCTGATGCTGCTGCTTCCCATTGCGTGTGACCTGACTTTATCATTATCAGGACCCCGTCCCCTTGCCTGCCATCCATCCTATCTTGTCTATAGATTGTGTAGTCATCCATCCCCGGAATGCTGTGGTGCATCCGCATCCATGATTCAGTTATGGCCCTGATGTCTATACCTGAGGTGCGCCTTCTCACCTCTCCCCACTTATCCCGTGTGATGCAAGCATTGGTGTACCACAGTGTGACTGTCTGCTAGAGCAATCCTGCCGGATCGGGAACTGATTTCCCAAGGATCCTCGAGCGTAATGCCCGAGGTGTTACCCCGTTTTGCGGGGAGGGTTACGAATGTGGACGTGCCTTCTTCCACTTCCCAAGCCATTCCAATTTTCTCCCTGGATATGACTTTTATCGTCATTCCGAAAGCCTTCTCTACCTCATAGCTACATCTTCATTCGCCTTCGGAGTACCTAATCTCTTTTTGCAGTCGGAGAGCCGGGGACGTTTTCAGCTACTGGGGATTTCGCTACTATTGTCGCCCATGTAACTGGTTCGTCACAGTTCACCGTGGCTTTCTTCTCTGCACCGCCAGCTGAATATTGCATACTATACCCAGGCTTTACATTTTAATGTCCAACAGCCAATGGCTGACGGAGTTGAAGGCCTTTGAAAGGTATAAATAGCATACTTCTCCGTTCTTGCCCTCGTCCAACCACCGCGTAACCTCATCCAGAAATATCAGCAACGAAACCACTCTGTGTCAGTATCAGAAGTCAATTATGTACTAGATGCAGGCATATCTGCTTCCCAGCCAATCGTTCCAAGCACCTGCACAGCACCGACGTTAGGCCGACGGGTGTGTAGGTTTCGGCTCTCTGCCTGGACCTAGGTTTACGCAGTGCCACTACTATCACCATGTGCTAATCAGCTGGTGACGTGGCGTCTTAAAGGGATTGCCTAAAGAGCCTAATGATTGGTCCTGTTGGGACTTCAGCTAATGGCTGAACTATGGCTGGATGGATTGCATCCGGGCCTGCCGATTTGTACTTATTCAGCGCTTTAAGTTCGGAAGTTACGTCGGCTTCCGCGAAACAGATTTCCGATAGAATCGGCCTATTTCCTAGCGGTTGCGGTGTCGGAATAGCTATGTTAGACGTCACCCTAAGGACACTTTGAAAATCCCATCAGCGCTTTTGCTTTATTTTCATTACTCGTAGCTTCAACACCACCCACCGTCCAACGCGCAAATAATTTTGCGTAAATGAGCATTACCCTGCATATATGCGGAGAGCCTTTTCGGGTTCAGTCTTGCTGCCTGTGCCAGTCTAAGCTCGAAATTATATTTTTTTGTTCTTCGGATCTTCTGTGACTTGTTCCGTTCCTTCTTATATTCGCACTGAGCGTGCTGCGTTCTGTACAGCCTAAAGCGGACCCAACTTCCCCTGAGACTCACCAGCACCCTGTCCATGCGCAGACTCCATCACAGCGGTCTTTTCTTACTCCGCCGTGAAGTTTGTTATGTTCAACTGGAAAGGTAGCCAAATTCGTAGTAGGCGAACGGGTAGATAGATAAAGTTGACTCGCTGAATTCTCACAGGCAATAATAGATAATCCTGGCTTGTTTCAGGATCGACTCATTTTTCATTTTCACTTTTACTTTCTTCTACTGAACTTAGAAATATACGGTTTCCAAAAAGGAGGAAGCGGCCAATCAAATGGCTGTCATAATGGGTAAAGATAGGTGGTGGTGGTGGGAGTCGAACACACTTCCTACGGGGTGATAGTGACGTTACCACCTAGCCTCCACCGGTTGAAAGGGAGACAAAAACATTAGCTGCGTACACGCAGAACAATGATCGTCTTATAAGTCCACAGGGAAGAACACAGAGTCAAGAGACGACGTGTATTGTCAACCGTCACAATGGTCAAAAGTGGAAACGGCACAATGTGTCCATCCGGGCGTATGTGTGTCAGGTTTTATGAACAAACAGTGAAACAAAATTGTTGGTTTTTCAATTCGATAACATTTAGTTTTTCGCCTCAAGATTCGTCTCTCGATTGGTATTTCTGTTTTCGTACCGCGCATATTGATCATATTCTGAAAAGCAAAATGAAGAGAGAAAGACAATTTTGGGCGGTGGGAACGAATACGCGTTGTACACTACACGTAGCTCAGTGGGTAAGCAGGCATGAAGAAAAATTGTCACAGAGGAAGAAGTGGAATGATTGAAGTGTATATACAAGTCACTGAATTGAATTATTCAGCATTCAGTTCAATACAGGACGAGAAATGAATACGGCGAGAGTCGGACACGGTAAACAATGTCAAACATTGATCGTACGGAGGTTGACAGAGACGAAGCCTGAGTGGATGGAGTATTTGAAAGCTTTTTGTTTATATGTGCGAGGATAAATGTGTCTGCAAAGTACATATATATACAAATTCATGCAGGTAGGACCAGCTTGTGAGTGAGATCCATGGNTTGGGTGAGGGTGACAGCGCCAAGAAGGGAAAAAGTGACTTTAGGCCTAACCAGGTCTTCTTTCATCGATCGAAAACCCGGGGCATGGGGTCGCCTTGCGTGGGCCTGTTGATTAATATCTGAGTCTCCTTATCGGAACGGTCTAGCTGATCGGAGAATTCATATGATCCCGCTTTACCTTTTCTGGTCATAATTCGATCTTCACCGTTGCATATCGGTCCGATCCGACGGAAGTCAACGTTATTCTGACCGCAGCAGATCTCTGGAAAGGAAGCCGGAAATGGGACCAAGTCTAGATAGAATCCTAGCTGATGAAGGAGGAAAGAAAGCACGTATGTTATCATTGAACCTAATTCTGAAAGTGTTAGCCAACCAGTTGGGAACTAGTCAGAAAACTGATAAATTTAGCTGAACCAATTAGGTAGCCTCGATCGACTGCCACTCAAGGAACCATGCCAAAAAACAGAAACAAAACGCTTCTCTGTGATTGTAAAAAATCAGTTTACGGAGCGAATGTTTACGAAGCATTTGTTAGTGCAACTAGCACCAACACCACTTTTGCGAAATTTCTCGAGTAAGTTGTCTTAGCCGAGACTGACACAAAAGTAAAAATTAAGATTTTGGCTTACAGTGTTTAGTAAATGCGTTAAGCTCAAGTGAAAATAGAAGAGAAGAAGAAACCTGACTGACATCTGAGAACAGTCAGTGGTACTGGAATGCAGGTTCAGGTGTTCAGTGGTCAGTATCTCCATCGCTAGACGCCAAATTGTAATAGTTGAAGTACGCACCGATTACAAAATGCAAATCAAGTATTAGAAATCACGGACGCCACGTAAGCACTAAATCACACTCACACTTGCACAGCAGTGTCCCACACAATCAAGACACAAAGAAAAAGCATCAGGGGTTGCATTTCATTTATTGAAAGAAATCATGGGGTTTAAATAATATGGAAAAATAAATTTATTGCTCGTCCGACGATCTATTAATCCTGGTGTCTTAGTGCTTCTATCTGGGCCGCGCGGCTTCTGATTGGTCTGTAAAATTGGCCTATGGTTCGTAGTGTAGAAGCTGTAACTCATAGGCAATTTGCTGGCGACATCTGTGAAACTTAACTCATCAAAGTTGTCCGAAAACTGTAACCTGTAACCCCGAGATTCCCGTAAACTGGGATCACGGCAGAGCTGTTGCCCGTTTTGTTCCACATAAGCCTTTAAAACTGCGACTTTTTACGTTCATCTAAATGAAGAAGAACATGCTAGTTAAGTTCTTCGTTAGAAGAGCGTCTCGTAATTACTTAAAATATCTTACTTGGGGAGGATACAAGACTAATTCCGGATGTTCTGGAAAGGCGAGTCAATATGATGAAACCCGTTCCTTGAAAAAGTATTGTTACTAGTTAAACACTGCGATTCGAGGAAGGTAAACAAAGACACATGCTCTGATGTCCAAAATGGTGGAAATTAGAAAGTCGCGGCCATCACGGGCGAAGGATTTTGGAGCCGGATATAAACCATTAGTACGGATTTGCACACGATTTACAGGTACGGGCACCAATAAACAACGTGATACAAAAGTGCCTGAACCCCATGGCACTGAACTTAAATAGACTGGATCGAGATGAAAGCCAGGCGCTCGCTTCAAGCCGCCTGCTTGGTCTTCTCTGTTTGGAGTTTTAACAGGTCAGGTTACGTTTTTGCCGTCTAGCGATCAACATGACAGCGATACGAAAGAAATTAGTCATTGTTGGTGACAGTGCATGTGGAAAAACTTGTCATGCTCATTGTGTTTAGCAAAGACTAACTTCATGAGGTCTATGTGCCCATAGTTTTCGAGAATTACGTCGCCGACATAGAAGTTGACGGGAAGCAGGACGAGTTGGACTTATGGGATACACCTGGTCAGGAAGATTATGATTGTCTTCGTCCACTATCATATCCTAATGTGATTCTCCATCGACAGCACGGACAGTCGAGATGATATCCCCGAGAAATGGTATTCCGAATTCAAGCACTTCCTCCCCAACGTTCCTATTATCCTCGTAGGGAACAAAAAGCACCTGTGGAACGATGAGCGCGCCCGACACCAGTTACCCAAAATGCATCCGGAAATGGTGGAATCGGAAGAGGGATGTCTAATGGTTGAACGCATTAATGCTTATGCATACCTGGAATGCTCAGCGAAGACGAAAGAAGGCGTTCACGAGGTATTCGTAACCGCTACCCGGGCCGCTCTGTCTACAAAGCGCAAAGGAAAGAAACCGTGCGAACTGTTGTAGTTATTGTACTTACCTATCTAAAATTTACTGATGACGATGATGACGAGGAGGAGGATGACTACAACTTGTCGTCATCATAAAATTCCAAACTGATCATTAATCTGGTCTTCCCATGCCTCGCTGTTTCCAGTGAACTCGATCTCTATGATAATCATCAATTTATCAGTTCCTTTCTGCGAAAGCAGTATCCTTTTTTCTTTCACAACCACATCCACTTCGTGCAAACCGGATAGCACGTCACAGATCAGACAATATAAAGATTTTTGTTCGCTTCAAGTCAAGTCAAGTCAAGGAATGGCTTTATACACCGGGGAGGTGAATATTCAGCAACTATATAACCATAGTTTGTCAAAAAACACGTAAAACACAAAAGTATGATACAGCAGTTAAAAGGATATGAAAAGGGACAGCAAAAACCAAAATGAGTGGCACACCTGGGTGTTCATGAGGGATTTAATGTAGCGTTTGACGCAGATTTCCCGTAACGAGGACTTGGTTTGTTAGAAATCTAGCGAGATAAGGAACAACAGACCGCCTGTAAGCTTCAGTGGGAGTCTTTATGAGTTTATGAGTGAAACAGGTGGATGCGTGAGAAAGGCAGTCGCTAAGAGAGGAATAAAGAGGATGGGAGATATCAGATAAAATCTTATTAGAGAATGTTTTACAGGACTTGAAGTGATGTGTCACCACAAACTCTACTAGATGTTTCCGTGGTATGAGACTACAAACGGAGAGAAATCTGAGGAATCGGGAAATGAGTTTGAGGTCCTTGTTCAAAAGACCTGGGAAGATAACAGGGGACCCATAAAGCCAATGTGGCAAAACGCACGTAAAGAAAAACAAAACGCCTTATGAGACGGTTTGGAATAGAAAGGGATTCAAGGCGTAGAACATGAAAAGTGAGCCTCCCGACCTTCAAAAAAACGTCATTGACATGGTCAGACCAGGTGAGGTTATGATTAAAATAACACCCAGGTATATGACAATCGGTTTTCGTACCATCTGCTCACTCAGGATAGATAAAGGTGGGCTGGCGTTTGATAATTCATCAAACTTTTGCCCTTTCAGAAGAGAAAAATTTGCGTCACTACATTTTTGGGGGTTTATGCAGAGGTTTCTTTGTTGTGACCATTCAACTAATCCAGTCACGTCTTCTTGCAGAGTTGTTTGTAATGATGAGTTGGGGTAGGCAGTCCGAACATTATATCATCTGCATACTTGACGAGAAGAGAAGAATTGCTCAACTCAACTTTCTGGGCTTACATTGAATTGCCGATGCGTTTATATAACGCATGGAATAAGTAAACACATTTTTGGTCAGATGACACCACTGATTTTCAACATACGTGATAACGCCAACTCCCCGTCGGAAATAAGGAACAGGACGATCGACGCGATAGCTAGCGAATCCATCCAGATGTATTATCTCATCCTCAATTTCATTGTGGAGCGAAATTTCTTGTAGCACGATCACACCTAGTTGGGCATATTCCCGTTGCTTGATTAAGCTGGTGAGAT